TAAGGTAACCCTGGTGGCATAGTGGTTAAGAGCTACAGCTGCTAACCAAAAGGTTGGCAGTTCGAATCCCCCAGGCGCTCCTTGGAAACTCTATGGGGCAGCTCTACTCTGTCCTATAGGGTTTCTATGAGTCGGAATCAACTCGACGGCAATGGGTTTGGTTTGGGTTTTTTTGGTATATATACATATATACACACATGGGGACCTGGTGATGCAGTGGTTAAGAGCTGAGCTGCTAACTGAAAGGGTGACAGTTCGAATCTACCAGCCACTCCTTGGAAACCATATGGGGAAGTTCTACTCTATCCTATAGGGTCACTATGAGTTGGAAATGATTCGATGGCAACGGGTTTATATATATATGTATATATGTAAACCAAAACCAAACCCATCATAACCAAAAATCTCATAGGATTTAGCTCCTTGATTTGGAGGTTTAGAGTCATCGTTTCATGGGACAGCCCAGCTAATGGCCTAATAACGTGTTGAGTGCTTCTGCTCTACCTCCTAGTTCATTGAATATGCCTGGGGTCTTAAAAGCTTGCAAGCAACCATCCAAGGCACAACAATTGGTCTCTATTTGCCTGGAACAACAGAGGAAGAAGGAGAGTCAGGAATAGGAGGAAATGGATGTGTGGCTAATTGTCTCCATGAACAATGCCTCCTTTGCTATGAGATCAGAAGAACTGGATGGTGCCCGGCTACCATTACTGAACATTTTGAACAAAGATTCCATAGAAGAATCCTGATAAAATGGGGGAAAATGCAGAACAGAATTTCAAATTCTCATGGACTCCAGACTTCCTAGAGCCATGGAGGGTGGATGAACCCCTGAAACTACTGCCCTGAGATAATCTTTAAACCTGAAACCAAAAAATCCCCCGAAGCCTTCTTAAAACCAAACAACAGTTTAGCTTAACTAGTAAACAATGTCTGCCTTGAGCATTGTGCTCTTTTAAGAACTGTCTATATGAGATCAAAGTGACAACAGCAACTTGAGAGACCAGATGGGAAACTTAGGGGCAGTCCGTTTACGTTAATGGGGGAGGAACAACTCAGAAAAGGAGGGTGAGAATGGTCGCACAACTCGAAGAATGTAATCAGTGTCACTGAATTGTATATGTAGAAACCATTGGATTGGTGTATGTTTTGCTGTGAATATTCTCAACAACAATAACAAAGGAAATAAAATTATATATATTAAAACAAAACAAAACAGAAACCAAACCCATTGCCATCGAGTCAATTCCGACCCATAGCAGCCCTGGAGGACAGAGTAGAACTGCCGCATTGGGTTTCAAGGCTATAATCTTTTTGGAAGCAAACTGCCACATCTTTCTCCTGCAGAGCAGCTGGTGGGTTTGAACCGCCAACCTTTCAATTAGCAGCTGAGCCCTTAAGGAGCCCTAGTGGCACAGCGGTTAAGGGCTCGGCTGCTGTCCAAAAGGTTGGCAGTTCGAATCTACCAGCTGCTCCTTGGAAACCCTATGGGGCAGTTCTATTCTGTCCTATAGGGTTGCTATGAGTTGGAATCGACTTAATGGCAACGGTTTTCTGCGTATGTGTGTGTGTGCGTGTGTGTGTGCGTGTGCATGTGCCTGCATGTGTGTGCGCATGCGTGTGCGTGTGTGTGCATGTGTGTGTGTGTGCAGGCACATATATCACTGTTCTGTTTCTTAGAGAACGCTCCCTAGGATATTCTGGCAGGGGTCCTCACCCAAACCTCTCCCTGCCAGCACCCAGTCTGGTGGGCTGCCCATGTCGAAGCCCTTTGGCAGAGGTGGAGGGCTAAGAAATGAAGAAAACAAGCCCCAGCTCAGCTCTGGGCACACTCTGCTGGGACCTCGATGCCTCCAGCCCAGACCCCCTGGTGTTGTCCTTTGACTGATACCCCGTGCCCCAAGCTTGCAAAGGGCTCCCCGGGCCCAGGACAGAGGGGCGGAAACGTCCAGAAACAGGCTCCTGCCACCCTCAGCTCAGTGTGCAGCGCTCCAGCCCTGCCCAGGCCTCCCACGTACCTTCGAAGTCCCCGTCCCGGGCCTTGGCTGCGAGCTCGGAGGACGACAGGGTCTCCTGGCACAGGGCGCAGTCCTCCAGGGCCGCGCTCCGCAGGGTCTGGGTGACTGCAAGAGAAAGAGCAGCTGTAGGAGGCGCGGTTACCAGCCCAGGGACAGGAATGCCCTGGGGGCAGAGGGCTCGGCCTCGGGCACCGCACACCCATGGTTGCTGCCAGCAGGGCCAGGTCCTAACGGCATCCTCAGCACAGGGTCCCTGCTGTTGGGATTTAAGCTTACCTCACAGTCTTGTGGCACGTGGAGTACCATCCCTGTAGCCTTTGTCTGCTGCCCCAGCAGGCCTGAGCCTGACCCCGTCAGGGGTGCCTTTCTGCCTTGGGGCCCAGGGTGAGGGGTTTAGGGTACAGAGTGCAGGGGGGTGAGGGGCCCGGGTGTAGGGGTCCATGATGCAGGGGCCTGGGATGCAGGGTCCCTGATGCAGGGTCCTAGGGTGCAGGGCCCAGAATGCAGGGCCCAAGATGCAGGGATCAGGGTGCAAGGACTAAGATGCAGGGATCAGGGTGCAGGGTCCTGGGTGCAGGGTCCTAGGGTGCAGAGCCCAGGGTACAGGGACCAGGGTGCAGGCTCCTAGGATACAGGGACCACGGTACTAGGGTGCAGGGCCCAGGTGCTGGGTTCAGGGTGCAGGGCCCTAGGGTGCAGGGCCCAGGGTGCAGGGCCCAAGATGCAGGGATCAGGGTGCAGGGACCAAGATGCAGGGATCAGGGTGCAAGGACCAAGATGCAGGAATCAGAGTGCAGGGCCCAGGGTGCAGGGCCCAAAGTGTAGGGTCCAGGGTGCAGGGTCCTAGGGTGCAGGGCCCAGGGTCCAGGACCCAGAGTACAGGGTCCTAGGGTGCAGGGTCCTAGGGTGCAGGGCCCAGGGTGCAGGGTCCTAGGGTGCAGAGCCCAGGGTGCAGGGCCCAGAATGTGAGGCCCAAGACGCAGGGATCAGGGTGCAGGGACCAAGATGCAGGGATCAGGGTGCAGGGTCCTGGGTGCAGGGCCCAGGGTGCAGGGATTAGGGTACAGGGACCAGGGTGCAGGATCCTAGGGTACAGGGACCAGGGTACTAGGCTGCAGGGCCCAGGGTGCAGGGTCCAAGGGTACAGGGCCCCGGGGTACAGGTGCAGGGCCCAGGATGCAGGGCCCTAGGGTGCAGGGTCCAGGGTACAGGGTCCTAGGGTACAGGCCCCAGGGCACTAGGGTACAGGCCCCAGGGTAGAGGGCTCTGGGAAGGCTGGGGGTGAGTGAGCACTCCCACTCACACCGGCCCGGGCCTGCGTCACCCTCACCCAGCTTTCCTCAGGGAAGAAGGAGCCCTCTCTCCCCTCGCCATGGCCACCTGTTGCCAGACCTGCTGAGAAGGGACCCAGACCCACATAAAGGCCACTCGGAGAGGACGTGCGACCTGAGGCCCGAATGGGCCGCCTGCTGCCCGCCCTGGGACCCCCCTGGCTGTGGGGATGGGGCCTCTAGCAGGGGCTAAGGCTCTGGAGGGCTCTGTAGATGCCGGCCCACAGGACCCAGGATAGGCCTTCATAAGTCTACGTTCTACTGACGGCTGGGCCCCAGGCTGGCTAGGCTTGCGCGGGGCTGCGGGGCTGAGCCAGGGTGGGGGCAGCTCGGCCCCAGTCGGGAGGGGCGGCCAGGTTCTGGGACCGAGGCCATGGTGAAGGCAAGCCCTTTCTGGCAGCCTGCTGTGGCCAAGCACGGGGTCCACCATGTGGTCAACCATGCACCCCATGATCCTCTGCTCCTGAATCTCCATCCCCTCTGCCCATTTGGAGCAGCCCTTTGTCCTTCCACCCTCTGAGCCAGGCATGACCCACTCAGGCCTGTCGCCCAAGCTACGATCTGAGCACGTTAGGCTGGTTCCTTGGGCCAGGGTGACCTGGCTTCCACTTCCTCGCTCCCTGCTTGCCTGTCTAGTTCCGCACAGGTCACAAGGTCCCCCAAGGGGCTGGTCCAGGTACGTGGCTGTGTTCCTAGGGGTGTGGTCTGAGGCCCTCACCTGCACAGCATGGTGGGCCCCAAGGCTGGAGGGCTCCCCCTCTTCACTGTGCCCCCTGACACACAGGGGCCCTGCACTGCCCGCCTGGGGGTCAGGGCCCCTGGACTGTGACCCCCCAGGCGGGTGGGGGGCTTTGTGCAGCTCAGTGTCCTAACAGGTGCCGAGAGGGGGCACTCTGTTTGTGGAGCTAGTTCTGAGTAGGGTTTTCCCAGAAGCAGCAGGCCAAGAATTCTCTGGGACTTGGAGGCAGTATAGCCTGGTGCAGGGGCTCTGGCAGGCCAAGCCCACTGGGCCCCCCAGTGACGAGGGAGGTTCTTCCAGAATGAGAGCTTCTGCCTGCACGAGGGCAGGGGAAGCAGGGCCTGCGTCCTTCCCCATCCCGGGACCCTGCCACGTCCCTGCGGGCAGCAAGGGGGTGAACTCCCCAGACCTTATCTATCAGTTCCAGCCCTGACGCCAGCCTCCATCACCAAATAACTCCACTATGTGTGTGGGCGTGTGTGTGCGTGTGCATGACTGTGGGTAAGAGCATCGCACGTGTCTGCGATGTGTGTGAACGTGTGCAAACAAGTGTGGCCGATTAAAGGCAGCCACAGACTGCAGCTCTTCACAGAGATATGGCGTCTGTGTCCCCTCCCTTGGATCTGGGCGGCGTGACAGAATTTGGAAGAAGTGATGCCGCACCGCTGCCAGGTCTAGCCCACGCCCGTCCACAGCACGGGGTTGGGCTGCCTTGCTGGGAAGTGTGGGCAGAGGCGAGGGGCAGCTGCGTGTGTGAGCATGTGTGTAGGGGGTCATTGCCTGCCTGCCTGGCTGTGACCCCACTTCTCTTGGCAATTACATCCCTTGGTCCCCACAGCAGATAGCCTGGCACCGCTGAGCCGTTTCCATTGGGAAGGCGCAGGTCACGGACAAACTAGGGTGGGTGGTTGCTCCCACATGACGGGCCACGTCTGCGCAGGGCTGAGAGGTGCAGTTTTCTGGGCCCCACTTCCTGTGGATGGTGGACAGAGCCTGGCCTGAGCGGGTCCTCACCCTTCTTCAGCTTCTCTTTGTCGTCCGTTTCCGGCTTGGTAGCCATGACCTCAAACAGTGTCTTGAGGATACTTCTGAGGTCGCTGGCATAGTTGGTCTGCAGCTGGTCAGCCACACCTGGGAAGAGGGCCACAGGTGAGAACAACAGCAGGTCAGATGGAAGGACAGGTCAGGCTGGCCGACTTCGGAAGTATGATGTTGTTTCTGGATGAAACTATGCCAGGGCCCGCGATTCAAGAGCCACGTGCCCTCAGACCAACCAGGGGGAGAAGGGGCTGCCTGGACCCCATGGAGACACTTCCTTTGGCAAAGAGAACCTGAGGCGCCCAGGGAAGGTGGGGGAAGGCATGACACCTACTAACCAGCACCACCTCGGGCCAGGCCGTTACCGACATGCAGGCGTTCTACCTGTGCGGTCACAGCCACTACTACGCAGTGGAGGTTCCTCAACAGAGGGTCCATGGGGTCCACCCCCACGCATCACCTTTGACCGTCACGGCAACTGGGGCATCCAGACCCCACCTGCAAAGCCCGCCCGCCCCAGCGGTGGGTGAACCCCAAGCCAATACATGGCTGCCCCAAATAGCCATGACCGCAGGCCCAAGAGGCTCCACACGCCAGGAGCCCAGGGAAACAGGATGGGCAGGAGACGGGGCAGTGGAGACTCCACTGTATACCTCTGAGCCGTGTGAGTGTGTTAGTTATATAAAACACACCCCACGCTAACTACACACACCCGCAACACACACACCACACTAACTACACACACCAACACACCACACTAACTACACACACCAACACACCACGCTGACTACACACACCAACACACCACGCTAACTACACACACCCACCACACACACCCCACGCTAACTACACACCAACACACCACGCTAACTACACACACCAACTACATGCATGCCACGCTAACTACATGTACCAACTACACACACCACCAACACACACCACGCTAACTACACACACCCACACACAAAGTACACACACCAACACACACCACATTAAGTACACACATCAACTCACATACACATACCACAGACACACAAACTCACACAGCACACATACCACACATACACACACACCACACACACAAACCAGACACACACGTACACACACCACACACAGCACACACACACCACACACACCAACCACACATCACCTACACCAAACACATACACACCACACAGACATGCCACATACTAACCGCACACGTACACACACCACACCACACACAAACCACACACACAAACACCACACCACACATATCACACACCACATATACCACACACCAAACACACACTCCACATGTACTGCATACACCCACGCACACCACACATACACCAACCACACACATGTACACACAGCACACCACACATAAAACACACACAACACATACCACACACCATACATACCACACACGCTATACACACATACACACATCACATACACCACACACATACACCAAAAGGGAAAGGTAAAAGTACACCTTTTGTGCTCACTCCCCTCTCCGAATTCCCCTGGGTGACAAAATACTCATCTCCCCCTCACGCTCCACATCCCAAGAGAAGGAAGATGGACACGAGGGGAAATAACACCTGAGGTACGAATTAAACAGAGCCCACAGCTCATCCCCAGCAGAGGGTGCAGGGAGGGGCCCAGAAAAGTGGGAGCAGTTCCCCAGCTTACAGCTCAGCGGTCCTAGAGGAGAACTAAGCCCCTGTCTCTACACAAAACCAAAACCAGTTGCCAGACTCCTGGCGACCCCATGTGTGTCAGAGTAGAAACTGTCTCCACAGGGTTTTCAGTGGTTGGGTTTTCAGAAGTAGTACTTTTATCCCGAGGCTCCTTTCAGTTAGCTGCCAAGTGCATTAACTGTTTGCACCAACCAGGGGCCCTGTCTCTACCTGGGGACACGGAAACGAAACAGTGTATGAAGCCTCTCTGCAGAGCCAGGCACGTTGGGGGCTCCCACCACCCACAGCTGGGCACCTGGCTCAGCCTTCCCCTAAGGCATAGGTGGGGCCCTTCGCATCCAGGAGCCAGCCCACCCGCTCCAGACCCCAGCAACGCACCGGATATACAGACGAAGAGGCGGTGGATCAGGTCATGGCTGCTGTGGAACCGGGATCGGATCTTTTCCCTCGTGGCCACGGGGGCAGCGTGTGGGACCACGGGGGCTGCCTCAGTCCTGGCCTTGTCTGAGGAGCAGGAGGCCACTGTGGAGTCTCTGCACAGAGAAAGGGAAACATGGTGTGGGGCCGAGAGCAGCCCACAGTGGGCCGTGGTGAAAGGCCCCCAAGGGTCCGGCCGAGAGCAGCCCACAGTGGGCCATGGTGAGAGGCCCCCGAGGGTCCAGGCCGAGAGCAGCCCACAGTGGGCCATGGTGAGAGGCCCCTGAGGGTCCAGGCCGACAGCAGCCCACAGTGGGCCACGGTGAGAGGCCCCCGAGGGTCCAGGCCAAGAGCAGCCCACAGTGGGCCACGGTGAGAGGCCCCCGAGGGTCCAGGCCGAGAGCAGCCCACAGTGGGCAATGGCCTGAAAGTCAGAGTCCAGACAAAAATCTACATGCCCTATGGGTTTCCACTCCCCAGGTACTGAGTTGCCCATAAACAACTTCCCTGTAAGTTAACTTTAAGACATTATCAGTGATATACCACCTCACCCCCATTAGAATGGCAGTGATCAAAAAAAAAAAAAAAAGGAAAACAACAGGTGTTGGTGAGGTTGTGGAGAAACTGGAACCCTCATCCATTGCTGGTGGGAATGTAAAATGGTGCAGCCACTGTGGAAAACAGTTTGGTGGTTCCTCAAAAAGTTGAACATAGAACTACCATTTAACCCAGCAATCCCAATCTTAGGTATATACTCCAGAAGAAGGGAAGGCTGGAACGCAAATAGAAACCTGTACACCAATTCATTGCAGCGCTTTTCACAATAGCCAAAAGGTGGAAACAACACAAGTGCCCATCAACCAATGAATGGATAAACGAAATATGGTACATACACACAAGAGAATACTACTCAGCCATAAAGAGCAATGAAGTCCTGATGCATGACACAACATGGATGAACCTTGAAAACATTATGCTGAATAAGTCAGTTGCAAAAGGACAAACACTGTATGCTCTCACTTATATGAAATAATCAAATACATAGAAACTAAAGATTATTAGTGCTTACCAGGGCTGGGAGGGAGGGGGAAAAGGGGAGTTTGTAATTAGGGGACATTGAGTTTATGTTAATGGTGGTGGAATAATTCGGAAAAGTATAGTGGTAAAGGGTACACAGCTTGAAGAATCAATGTCACTGAATTGTACATGTAGAAATTATTGAATTGGTGAATGTCTTGTTTTGCATATTTTCAACACACACGCGTTATCCATGTGATACACATACACCACTTGGAAGGTCAGGTGGTACAATGCAGCTTTGACTCAGTACCGCTGTACCTGCCCTGTCCTCCAGCCTCTGGATTTTGCTCCCTAGAGGCAATACCTCCAACTCTTTCTGCTGTGACTCCTGGTGTGGACCGTCAAGAGGCTGGCACACATGTGTTGGCTGTTCCTTCTGGGACTCCCTGTTGATATTATCTATGGACTTCTTCTATAGAAGGTTCAATTTGCCTCTCTCATACCACCTATAGTGGGCAGAATGGTGGCCCCCAACAAGATATGCCCACGCCCTAATCCCCGGAACCTGTGAACATGACCTTATTTGGAATAAGGGTCTTTAAGGATGTAATTAAGTTAAGGATCTTGAGACGAGGAAATCATCCTGGATTATCGGGCTGGGCCTCAAATCTAATAACAAGGGTCCTCGTAAGAGACACACAGAGGAGAAGGCCAGGAGAGGATGGAGGCAGAGATTAGAGTGATGTGGTCTGAAGCCAAGGAATGCCCACAGCCACCAGAAGATGGAAGAGGCAAAGAATGGATTCTCCCCTTGGAGCCCCCAGAGGGAGTGTGTTGAGTTAAATTGTGTCCCCAAAAAGTTATGTTGAAGTCCTAACCCATGCACCTGTGAATATGACCCTGTTTGGAAACAGGGGTTTCTTTTGTTATGTTAATGAGATCATATCAGAGTAGGGTGGGTCTAAACCTAATCCTATCTGAGTGGTGTCTTATAAAACGGGCAGAATAGACACAGAGACGCACACATAGGGGAGAGACAGACGCCACGTGAAGACAGAGGCAGATGTATCTACAAGCCCAGGAACACCAAGGACTGCCAGCAGCTACTAGAAACTGAAAAAGAAGGCTATTCCCCTAGAGCCACACTCTGAATCTAGACTTCTAGCCTCCAGAACTGTGAGACAATGAATTTCTAGATGGATTGGCAAAATAACCACAACGATGGATTCGAACCCACAGTTGATGTTGAGGATGACACAGGACCGGGCAATACTATGTTCTGTTGTACGTAAGGTTGCCATGAGTCCGAGTCCACTCGATAGCAGCTATTTATCTCTATCTAAGTAAAAGTGAAGCTGCCCAAACCCCACAGCCCAAGGGTCCCTTGCTGTATACACTAGAGAAATGCTTGTCCATGTACGTCTGCAGATACAGATGGAATCTTCTCGGCAGCACTGTTCGTTCCAGCAAAAAACTGGGAACAAGCCAAAGTCTGTCAGTGGCAGACTGGAAAATAAACCATGATCTGATCACACAATGCAGAGTTGACAGGGTGGGGAGGAGTGGATCACAGCCACATTCACCTACATGAATGGTCCTCCCACATCGCATGCGACTTCTAAAAAGTCCACACAGATGATCCCTTTTATGTACAGTTGAGAACCACGCAGAACTGCACAATGTATTATTTAGGGATACATACCCATGATGTAAAACCATGAAGAAGTGCAACTATATAATACCCGTGAGAGTCCAGGACAGTGGTCAGCCTGGGTGGGGAGGGAAGCTTGGGTTGGTAGGGACACATGGAGCTGCCCAGTTTCCCTTCTTTAAGGGGTGGGTGCACGAGTGTGGGCTTCATCACTCTACTCTGATGTAATACACTTTCCATTATGCATATTTCGTATTTCCTTGGACACTGAGCAGCACTGGCTTGGGGGTGGGGCTGATTATGCCAGCCAGTGCGTGGCCAGGAGGGAAGCACCTGCTCTGCAGGTTATGTTATTAAGTCATACTCGAGTAGGGTGGTATCATGGATTACATTGTGTCCGCCAAAAATATGTGTCAACTTGGCTAGGCCATGATTCCCAGTACTGTGTGGTTGTCCTCCATTTTGTAATCTGATATAATCGTCCTCTGTTTTGTGGTATTGTATAATTATGTGTTGTAAATCCTATATGTTAATGAGGCAGGATTAGTGTGGGGTATATCTTGAGTCACGTCCTTACTTAAGTCACACCCTTGCTTGAGTCACACCTTGTATCTTACAAGAGATAAAAGGAGAGAGAAACAAGCAGAAAGGGAAGGGACCTCACTACCACCAAGAAGGAAGAGCCGGGAGCGGAGAGTGTCCTTTGGACCTGGGGTCCCTGTGCTGAGAACCTCCTAGACCCAGGGAAAGACTGATGCCAAGATACATGGAGATCTCCAAGGAACACTGGACCTGCAGATGTTGAAAGGAGACAAGAACCCTCCCCCAGAGCTGACAGACAGAGAAAGCTTTCCCCTAGAGCTAGTGTCCTGAATTCAAACTTCTAGCTTCCTAAACTGTGACAGAATAAACTTCTGTTTGTTAAAGCCATCCGCTTGTGGTATGTCTGTCACAGCAGCACTAGATAATTAAGACAGGTAGGTTCTAAATCTAATCACTTCTGAGTTATAAAGACATGCCCACAGAGGAAGACAGACCACCACGTGAGGATCGCCAAGGAACTAAGGAACGCTAGCTACCAAGGCTACCAACAGGGAAGAATCAACACAGCTGAGACTCTGATTTGGATTTCTAGCCTCCAGAACTGTGAGAAAATGAATTTCTGTTCTTCAAAGCAACCCACTGGTGGTGTTTGTGTTACAGCAGCACTCAGAAACTAAGACAGGCTGCTCTGCCGGCCTAGCATCTCTTCCTTCCTGAGTGAGGACTTGGTGGCCAGAAGACATTGGCTCCTCATCATTGTGTCCTGCCTGGGATCACCCTGCATGTTGATTGTGAGTGTTGTCATCTCTTCTAATCTTCACAACCATGCTATGAGGCAGGTTTTTACAGATTTTACATTCTACAGATTTGGAAGGTGAGGCCTAGGAAGGTTAAATAAATGCCCAGGGTTACTTCTAGTAAGGAGCAGAGGCAGGGCTCCACCAGCTCTTAGCCACTCCGGGTGCTGCCTCTTGCTATGAGGTGAAAGGAATGCAGTGAGCTAAGGGCCTGGACCACAGCAGATGCTTGGGTCACGGTGCTGGTCAGATGGTCAGCTCATTTACACCTGAAGGCTGTAGGGCCAGGCAAATGATCGCAACTCTGTGCACCTCAGTTTCCTCATTTGTAAAATGGGAAGGTTGTTGCTGAATTAGAAAAGGGCTTGGGACACTGTAAATGTACAGTAAATGTTGGGTTACAGTATTAAATTTAAACTCCAAAAGAAGCTGAATCCAGCAACATAGAAAAAGAATTACATATCACAACCAAGTGGGATTTATCCCAGGAATGCAAGGTTGTTTCATCATGAAAATCAGTCAATGCAATACACTGTACTAGCAGAATAAAGGACAAAAACCACATGATAATCTCAACAGATGCAGAGAAACATTGGGCAAAATCCAACACCTTTTCATGATATAAACTCTCAACAAACGAGGAAAAGAAGGAAACTTCCTCCACATAATAAACAGCACCCATGAAAGGCTAACAGCTAGTATCATAAGATCAGGAACAAGGATGTCCACTATCACCATTTCCATTCTACATTGCACTAGAAGTTCTAGCCAGGACATTATGCAAGAAAAAGAAGTTAAAGGTATCCAAACTGGAAATGAAGAAGTAAAACTATATTTGTAGATGACATGATTATGTATATAGAAAATCCTAAGGAATCCACACACACATATATAACCTATTAGACCTAATAAATCAACTCAACAAGGTTGCAGGATACAAGATCAATATTAAAAAAATCAATTTATGTCTAGTAAATATTGGAGAGGCTGCAGGGAGGTTGGAACTCTTGTGCACTGCTGATGGGAACGTAAATGGTACAACCATTTTGGAAAATGATATGGTGCTTCCTTAGAAAGCTAGAAATAGAAATACCATGTGATCCAG